CCTAATCCTCTTTAACATAAAATTACAGTCACAAAATGGAGGACAACCACACAATACTGGGAATCATGGCCCAGCCAAATTGATACACACATTTTTTGGGGGACATAATTCAATCATAGAGTATCTCAAGCACTAACTCCCAATTATGAAAGTTATATTCAGTTCTAAAATTATGATGGTATCATCACTGTGTCATCTCGATCTTTGGTCTGCCCGTCATGGAACATGACCCAAGTCAGTATTTTCTTCTCCTGAATTAGCCATGAAATTGATCTGCAGCTGCCCAAAGGCCACAACTGAGCAGACATTTCCTCCATCCTCAACCCACTGCCCCCAAGGAAGCACTGAAGAAGCAGAGAATGACAGAGAGAACAGCATCAGGCTCCTGGTCACAGATGTTGTGTACTTAACTATACAAGAGGTTTACAAGTACTCATTTAAAAAAAAAAAAGCTTTTTCTCTTTTTGAGCAATTTATGAAAACAAATGAATGTTTGGATACTTCAGGACTAATTTGCTCTGAAGGTGATCTGCTATTCACAAGCTGACATCAGGACAAACCCTTAGTTTCCAGACACTAGTCCTTTATTGGAGCCCTGGTGGCATGGTCGTTAACAGCTCAGCTACTAACCAAAAGTTTAGCAGTTCGAATCTACCAGGTGCTCCTTGGAAACCCTATGGGGCAGTTTTACTCTGTCCTATAGGGTCACTATGAGTCGGAATTGTATTACCTTAATTCAGGAAACATACCTGGAGAATGTCTAGAAGATCACAAGCCAGTCCAGAGGGGAAGGGGATGCTTATTTTGGTGATGGGCTGGAGCTCAGTTCTGGAAGCTGGACATCTTCAGCCTGGAAGGTTAATTGCAGAAGCATTTGGAACTAGGAGCAGACAAAAAAACACAAGGACCATCATCAGCCAGCTGTGGGTAATTGGCCTGAGGTCCCGGATGGCTAGGTACCCCCTCCTGCCCCCACTCTCCTCTGAGAGGTTGGAAAAACTCTAACACTGAGCCTTCTTCTTTAGAAAACAAGTCTCTGGCTGTTCTCTGCTCTGTAAAAGGAGAAAGCAAGCTCAGGGCCACAGCCGAAAATCTAATGAGGAGCTCAGAGGCAAACCAACAATATTCCTCAGTGCGAAGTAGAAGCAGAACCATCACAGATGCCTAAATGGTCCCTGCACATCATGTCACACACGAAAATAAAGCAAGATACAACCTGAACACTCAGAGCAGTGCACTTAAATGTCTCTCTCTCTTATGTCAGATGAAACGCGAGGTCACAGTGGCCAAAGGGTGGCCTTAGAGAAGGGATCTGGCCACAGCGTTCCTGTCTTGCTCTGTCTGTCTCTGTGGGAATCAAAGGCCTGGCAGAATGGCATTCATTTTGCCCTGTGTCCGGCCTCCCTCCCAGGGGGCAGCCAGCATTCTCCCGAGGACGCAGGGCCCCCTGCTGGCTCTGGGGTGGCAAACACAAAACCACAGTTGGGCGCGCTTCCACGTCCTCCATGCCTAACACCCTCAGCCCAAGGATATCAGTGCTTTTAATGCCACGGGAAAGAAGAGTCTATGAAAGCCATCCTAAGTCCTTCAGGGTAGATCCTCCTAGGGCAAGACATGTTCTCTGAAATAGAGAAAGCTTCAGAACCAAGCGAAAGCAAGTGCAGAGCAAACCCAAAACCAAACCCACTGCCGTCGAGTCCATTTCTAACTCATAGCCACCCTATAGGACAGAGTAGAACTGCCCCATAGAGTTTCCAAGGAGTGTCTGGTGGATTTGAACTGCCAACCTTTTGGTCAGCAGCCACAGCTCTTAACCACTGTGCCACCAGGGTTTCCAAGTGCATACAGGGTGGGCTAAAATGAGAAGGAGGAGGACGTCATACCTTTGGGTGGGCTTGCCAGTTTACAAAGGCCTTTTACTTTCTGAGGAGCCCTGGTGGTGTAGTGGTTAAGTGTTTGGCTGTTAACCAAAAGGTTGCCGGTTCAAATCCCCCAGCCACTCCTTGGAAACCCTAGTGGGAATGGACTTGACAGCAGTGAGCTGGTTTTGGTTTTGGTTTACTCGCCGGTGCCTTCTGCTCCTGAGCAGTTGCTGTGGCGCCTCTTTACAGGAAGGAGTCCAAGGTGAATCAGTGCGGCTGGTGGCTGGTACATGTGCACAATCCCAGGGCAGTCAGGGCAGGGGACAGTGCTGTTCCTCTCCTCTCCCTCTGCCCATTCAGGGGGAGAGAGGCTGGGAGGGGAGCAGAGGCATAAGTTGTTGCCTTCTCCTGACTCTGGTGGAGGAAGTGGGTCCACCAGCTTCCAGGGAAGGATGGGTTGCCATTCAAATGCTTATTCCTCCCAACCACTTACCTAGCAAAACCCAAATAAACCACCAAGGCCTAGGGCCCTTGAATCCCATTCCGGAGGAGAGTAGAGATCCAGCTGCTCCTAAGAGGCTTTGCTTCCTCTATCTTTCTACCTGGTTTGTATGAGGGTACATGAAGGAGGTGGCTCAGGCCCTCAAGTAATTCAAGCCTGTTTCCTTCCAGAAACATGCAGTTTCTGTGCACATAAGCAGCTCACCCTGTCATTGCAAACCAGTCAGGTTCCAATTTATCATGGACTTCACCTGTGCAAAAAAGTGTATCACATCTAATTCAGAGGCATGGCTATCAGGATGCTGCAGCTAAACAATTCACACTTATACTGCTCTCCTTCCATTTAGCCAAGAATAATGAACAGTGTGCCTTAACACGGGGAAGGAGGGCTGTACATCTCAGCTTACAGACCTGGAGAAAGATGGAGCAGGCTGCGTTCCAGATACACAGGCCCAAGAAGCTGCTTCTACACCTTCATTTGCTGCCACATAGGGGCTCCCCTCGCCCTGCCCCTTTACTGTCACCCTTTGCCCACTGTGGCAGACACGATGCTGTGTGTTCCCCACCGAGTCTCCTCGCCTAGCACATAGCTAAACTACATTTCCCAGCCTTCATTGCTGTCAGGCTGTTAGAGAGTCTGGACCAGCAGCATGTGGGCTGAAGTGATGGGCGCCACCTTCAGGCCCTGAGAAACAACTCACGCAGTCCTCCAGTTCTAGCCTCCCTTGGCTCGGCCGGGGAAGAATATCCTTCAAGAAAGACTCTCTGTCCTTGTTTTCTTTTCAAAGCTTTGGTGTATGATTAAAGTCAGACTTTTAAAAGTTAAAAAAAAAAGGTGCCATCAAGTTGATTCCAACTTGTGTGTCAGAGTAGAATTGTGCCCCATAGGGTTTCAATGGCTGATTTTTCAGAAGTAGATCACCAGGCCTTTCTTCTGAGGAGCCCCTAGGTGGACTTGAATCTCCAACCTTTCAGTTAGCAGCTGAGCGCATTAACCATTTGCACCACCCAGGGTCTCCTTTAAAAAGTTAAAACAAAAAAAAAGAAGAATGGATGAGATTTCTTAATTACCTAAATCACAAAAAAATCCAACAATTATCAATATTCACAAAATAGCTATAAGAACCATGTACTTAATTAAATAATGCCAAGGAGAGTTTTTAAATGTATCTGAAAGAGGTGGCTGCATGGAGGGGTGGAGGCTTCCATCACCCTCCCCATTTGGAGCTTTCATCTGGTTCAGCACTTAGTTGGGCAGCCACGTTCCTTTTCAGGCATCACTTTCCCTTTTGAAGATAGTGGCCCCTCCCTCCCTTCTGGGGAGCCAGGGCATTTGAATGAGAGGATTCCCACAGTTCTGTGTCAGCTGGGGACTCAGCAAAGTCTTGAGGTCCACAGTAGCGTCCCTCTTGCAGGTTAATTGATGGGAGACCTGCCACCTGCTGTCAGCTGGTCTTCAGCTGAGCACTGACTCAGTTTCCCTGGTGTTCTCTGGTGCTGGATGGTACTCACTCCAGCAGAGG